AACGGGGACACAAGTCGCGGGGATAACTGGAACGGGAATGGAGGGAATGAGTGTTTGTGTAGCTTTGACTGCGTGGTTGCGCGTGTCTGAGATCGGGAGAGGAATGTTTGGGTGGCAGATCGGACTTTGGGGATTCTTACGGCTGGCTGGCGATTGATATCGCGCCGAGCTACAGCTTGGGCACACACTTTGTATCTGCACCACACTCCCCTCCCCTCTCTCCCCTTCTCTCTACCTTCTCTCCATCGCTACTGGTCCAACAGTCTCGCGCTTCGCGAAACATGACGATGAAGAAGTCGTTTCTACCGCTCACAATGACGAGGTTTACAGGCCCCGACGTGGTCAGTCTCGAGTCGGACGACACCCCGACCCGGGAGAATCACGACCAACCGTGACCCAGCCAGCCAGACATCCAGCCCCCCCAGATCTTGTGAAATGTGACAGATTCTGCCGGCTCCTGCTGCTTGCTCCTGACGCGGCGTGACTTTGACAGTTTTCGTGAGATCCTGCACTTACCCCTCCTTTCAACGCATCACTGCAGGAAGATGCCGAGAAGAGCAACAGGATCGTGATTGCATGACTTCCCCCTTTTCTTTTCCGCCTTGTTCGTGTAACCAAGAGGGGACCCTGCCTATCTCTTAGGGGGCCATAGTGTGTCTGGACTCTCGCTGGGTCCGCATCTCTGGAAGCTTCCGATTTGAAGGAGCAACCCTTCGAGGAAGATGCATTTGCGCATTGAGATGAGAAGGCGGGAGGTGCGTTGATGCATTCCCGGACGGTCATGTAATGCGGCTTTCCGCGGTGGGAGGTTTGGGGAGGGTTGCGCCGATGCGGTTTCCCGTCCGATGGGAGGGACCGTTGGGGGTGGAGGTGTCTTCTGTCTTCCTCTGGGTCTCGTGTCCTTCACACCACTCTGATCACTCACGGGGACATCGTGGGCGCCGGGGAGAGGCCGGGAGGGGACGCGGTGAGAGGGTGTGCTCCTGTCTGAGTGACAAGTGAGATGGGGTGATTTTGCACGGCATTGGGCGATATAGCAGATTAGGTTTTTTGTGTGAGTGGCCTCTTTGGGCTGGCTACGTGGACGCGGGCTTGGCTGATTGGGTGTATCTCATACGGATCATGATATTCGTCGGTCTCGGCGGCCGAGGTGATGTTTCTGCTGTGAGGAGAGGACCATGTTTCGCGCACGGGGGGCTTCGAGGGGTGTGCGGGTTTGTGTGTGTGTCTTTCTGGTGAATCTCTTGTCTCGGAGTGGACACTGAAAAGGGTGCGCCCGCTGCTGAGCTGTGAGCGTGGGATGTACTGGATGGGCAGGTCTGTGTCATTGGGTTTTACAGTGGTCTTCTTTTCCTTCGTGGACGAGCTCTGAATTTTGACTGGTGAGTTGTTTTTGTGGTAGTGGAGTTGGGAGAAAGGGTGATCGTGATTCGATGTTGATCTTCCTCTTTACCACCCCCTGATCTCGAAGTCCTTGCGTGTTGACAGCTGGCGGCTGTCGGGATATACCGCAACATCCGGGATAGATTGGGGTCAAAATGAAGCGTGATAGAAGGGCCGAGAGTTGAAAAGTACTTCGCAAGCCTCGGCTGTTGTTTCTCTGCGTTCTGTGGCGGTGGCCATGCTGCTACATGCTACTCATCATCAAGGGTGTCAGTCATGTTTCGTCAAGAGGGCCGAGGAGATACAAAGGGTCCTCTGGATCGAAGAATAGAAGGATATGAAACGGGGAACGCTCGGAGGATCTGATTATATTAAGGACTCGGCCGTGTTTCTCCGTTGTTTCTTGGGGTTCCTGGTTGTTGCTTGGAACAGATCCTTCCCGCCTCAATGAGTCGAGAACGGGTAATGCCGCTGTTTATATTACTAGGTTGCGTCAAGGAAATGAGAAATCTTGCATTATTTCGCGCATTTTCTGTGTTCTTCAAACTAATGAGAAAGAACCGAGACCTCGGGATGGTTCCTTCGCTTCGTCTTGCCTTGGTTCGGCCTCACATCAATCTGTCTCGAGGCTTCAGGGGGCTTCAGTTTCCCCCAGGAAGTGAAGACTTCTAAGATGTGACATCCAACCGCATAAATTAAAGCTTGGCTAGCTTTCGAGAACAATGTCGAAGAGCCCATCATGCTGTGAAAGTCAGTGTAATCGACACTCGACTATAGTAGCGTTGGGTCGCTGAGCGTTGAAGCTCGACCTGGCGGTCTGTCTGTGATGCTGGACCACTAAAAGTGATATTGTTACAATGAACTTCTAAAACCATGAAAGCATGTTGACTCTGCGGTTAAAAGGTGAACACGAAGCTGGACATACTTGGTCTGATCTTCACCCGCTCGTTTCTCGAGTCCACGATCGAAATGTTTGGCAAGGCCTCAGCTCATCAAGGTTAGCATCGTATCAGCTCTGGTTCCAAACTACATCTGAACTCTGGTTTACTCTGTTTTCCACAACTCAAATCTAAACTTGTTGCTTTCTAGCAAAAGTTCGTTGCCTACGATTTTCAGTGAGCGTTGTTATAATAGCAACCCTTGAGATGCCGATGGTCCATGTAACATTGGTTTCCAACAACACAGTCATGTAATCAAGTCAACCATCCCAAAGTCAACATGAGCAAGGCGCATTTTGTAGCTAAACTTTGACCGTTACTGATGAGATAGGCATGGTGATTGCCTCACATCGTCCACCCAAAAGCTTCGGCAGGGACCTTTTAAGACCTGGTATGTTGTTGGAAGCTCGCACCAGCATGTCGTCTTGTCTAGGGCATGCAGCAAACCACGTTGCTTAATGATTTTCCCATCAGCGGACTCGGAATTTTGGTTGAGCACGCGTTAAAACGGCAAACAAGCTCAACATGCCCGAGCTCTCCCGAGAAGCTCCTATGAGCAATGACTTATCTGCTATCCACCATCCGTGTCACTGTCCTACCTATATCGTGAGCAACATCTACCGTTTTCATGCCAGCAGCATAGCGATGTCCAGCATGATGGTTCATCCATTCAAAGTTACGATTGTACCGTACACATAGCACTACGAACTTTCTACATGATCGAGAACGCAACCTTTTGTCACAGCCAACCTTTGAAATTTAAGTCGGCATCACCAAGACTAGTTTCCGACGTTGAGTGGATAGCTTTTGATTCATCGCTATCATTACAATTACTCTGCCCAGTGCGGCAAGTAGAACTTGACGTTCTCATACACCAGGAACGTGACCCACGTAGCTGGCATCACCCTAACAACACCGGGCATCAGGCCTCGATAGAAGCCCCTGAATCCCTCCTCCTGCCATATCCTCCTCACGACGCCTCTGATCCCGCGTCCGAACCGCTCATCGGCATCATAATTCTGCAGTCTGCTGCGCAGGACTTGGTAGGGGTAGGTAACAGCACCGGCCACAAGCTTCGATACTGTCGAGATGACAACGGTCGCCTCGTTGCTCAGCCGGCCCCCGTTGTCACCCTTCTGCCTCCGGCCCGCAAAGTACATTCTCTTCGCAGGCTCGTACACAGCAAACTGCACAGCGCCATGCGATACACCGATCAAGCTCACTCCGAGTCCTCGGTAGAATCCTCTCAGCCCTTCGGTCATGTACAGTTGGCGCGCCCCAGACCACATGTTTGAGTAAGCGCCCACGGCGGTGCGATCAGATGAGACCATGCGCGTCTTGAGCACCCATATAGGGTTCGTCAGAACTTGGGTGAGGGCGCCGGCGAGGGCGGATGAGAGGAAGAAGTCCTGCGTTGAGAGCACCTCTTTCGTCAGACTTCGCGAGTCTGCGCCTGAGCCGTGAGAGGTCGCAAGCGGCCCGGCCTTCCAGTACGCAAGGGCGCGCTCAACGCGATTCTTGAAGAAGAAGAATGCTGACCAGCTTGAGGCGTTGCCGATGAGATTAGGCGTCAGTCCGCGATAAAGGGATGCGATGGGGCGCGGGTTTTGGGTGAGACTGCGGATGAGGGAAATTGTGGTCAGGCTAGTCGAGGTTCCGGCAGTGCTTCTGTGGACTGCGAACTCAGTCAGTTTTCTGTGGTTGACAAGTTCCAAAAAAGGGGTCGACTTACTTTGCATCCGAGTCTTGACGATATCAAGTGGATGAACCGTCAGCGTCGCGACCGAGCCGGCCGAGAGCCCGGCGATGGACTCAACGAGGGCGGGTGAGAGGCCCGCATGTTTGCTGTCTGACATAGAAACGAGAACTTCCGTCACATTTCAAAATGCAGATCTAAACGTGCCTCGTGCACTCTGTCAACTTCGGCTCTCGAGGTGGGAGTTGAAGATGTGAGCTTGAAGCTTTAGTGTGGCTGATGGCAGCTTCCAAAAAATTGCTACGTCATTTTTAGCTCGCAAAATTGCGGCTCCGCCACGATAATTGGAGCTCTAGCCACAACCGGCTTCTTCAACGGCTCATTGTGACGAGGGAAGCAGACGTCAATGACTCTAGCAGTCACGGCAGTGTTGATGGATGCATTTTTAGTTTGGGTCGATCTCTCGCAACTGGAAGGCTAAGAATATCACAGGCGCACATCGGACATCAATCCCGCGTTGACCAATGCAGCATCTTCAGGATTGAAGACGTATGCAGGATAGCGCATTTACGAAGCATTCCCCTTCTGTCCAACTATTCTGTCCTTTTTCATGTTGAGCTGCATTCGAGCCTGCCCATCCTGAATCTTTGCTCTTTTGGAATGAAGCGCAGTCGACCGCTAGACGGAATCCTTCCGGGTTGTCGACTCAGAGTCGATCGACAGGGCCTGGAACCAGACTTCTCTTCGAAAGCTCACTTTTTTTGCATGGGAAACAATCCATGGCATTGGGAAACGTTTGGGTCGTCAGAGAGGTTTCATTCGATTACATATCTAGTTGTACAATTCGTTGAGGCCGTGGCCTTTGCCTCCCTGGCCTTCCAAGCCTGGTATTCATGATTTCATCCCTGAAATACCGGCTTGCCTAAATGTATTTTCCGAAAGCCTTGTATAGTACATAAAGTCGACGTCGAGCCGCATGTCATCTAAGAGAGGGGGGACAGGAGGCTGCCAAGAGTTAGCTTCTCAGTCAACGACAAACATCGTGGAAGTCCATCATACCGGATGAAAGGCGGGCGGGGCTCGCTGCGAGTGTAGCCTGTAGTTGGAAGGTCAGTTTCAAGTCGATGGTTGTCTAGAGTTCGACATGTCGTTCGTACCGAGGTAGAGGATTAAGGGAAGGTAGCCACTACAGCTCTGTCAGTCATTTGGTCAAAAGTCGTGGAAATACGATGGGAACATACTAGTGAATAGCGACGCGGGAGATCTCAATGATCTTGCCGATGCGCTCCTGTTAAATTGATGAGTTTCTGTTTGATGCGACGGCATGCAAGCTGCGGGGGGCTGTAGTACCTTGGACTCTTCGGAGAGGGCGAACATCTTGACGGGGGTATCAGACTTGGACGTGTGAAGTTTTGGTCTATCCGGTCAAGTCTCGTGCTCGACGGGGGTATTCGCCTGTATTCGCGGGGTCTCGTCGACGTGCGTTCGGACGGGCGATGGTGGATGCTGAACCTGAACTTTTTCTCAGCTGCCTCACCGGAAAATTCGCGACTCTAGTGGGGCCGGAACAACCACGCAAGCTTTCTTATCGGACCTTACAGCACGATAAGGTACGTACCTTTCGCAGCTCGACCGCGTTCATGTCGAGGCCAAAATTTCCAGGCTGGAGGTTGGACAACTGCTGTCATTTCGCCCAAACACGCCACTACCCACGCATTTCATCTTCCTTACCTCTGGTTGCTTGATCGCACTAGGAGTGCCAGAAAACCAAAATGGCGCAGAACAGGCATTGGTGCGTCTAGATCCAAGCGCATGGAGAAGTAAGCTAACCATCTGGTTGTGTAGGGAACAGGACAAAGATGCGACCATCTACATCGGAAACATCGACGAGCGCGCGAGCCCGGCGATGGTTTACGAGATAATGCTCCAGATGGGCCCCATTCACAACATTCACATGCCCCGCGATCGCGTCACCCAGAATCATCAAGGCTTCGGTTTCGTCGAGTTTCGCACCCCCGGAGACGCAGAGTACGCCGCGAACGTGATGAACGGTATCAAGCTGTATGGCAAGTCGCTGCGCGTCAACAAAGCCAGTGCCGATAAGCAAAAGCAGGCAGAAGTTGGCGCCGAGCTTTTTGTTGGTAACCTGGATCCTATGGTCGACGAAAAGATTCTGTACGACACGTTCTCGCGCTTTGGACCGCTGGTCAGCCTGCCGAAGGTAGCCAGGGAAGACAGTGGCAACTCCAAGGGGTTCGGTTTTATTTCGTACGCCGACTTCGAGAGCTCTGATGCAGCTATAGCGAACTTGCACGGACAATACATTGCCAGCAAGGAAGTCTCGGTTCAATATGCATTCAAGAAGGACGGAAAGGGCGAGAGGCATGGTGATGCAGCGGAGCGTGAGCTGGCTGCACAGGCGAAGAAGAGGAACATCGTGCCCGAGATCCAGGCAGTACCGCCAGCTTTCTTGATGAACGGGAATGGCCCTCCAGCAGGCGCGGTACCTGTTGCACCCGCCGGTTTCGACCCATCGAACGGTCTACCGGTTCCCGTGCCTAATCCTGGAGCCCCCGCCGGATTCGCTCCTCCTCGAGGACCTGCGCAGTACAATGCGGTGCCACCGCCGCACAATATGGGAGGTCCCGGGGCCGGTCGTGGTCACGTCCTCCCGCCTCCTCCATCCGGTCTGCCAGCACGTCCGCCCCAAGGCCAGGGTGGTTACACCAACCCTGCCGACTTCCACCCCGGCGCCCCCGGGTTCCGTCCTCCTAGCGGCGGTCCTCCGCCTCAAGGGTTCGCTGCGCCTCCGCCCAACTTCCCCGTCCCTCCTCCGGGCCAGACTGGAACCCCTCCCGCTCCTGCGGGTTTTATGCCGCCTCCAGGCTTCAACCCTCCCGGTTTCCCAAGGCGATGAATGGCTCAGGAATGTTGATCGCTTTTACCGGTATCGGGTTGCCCTCAATGGGACATCACAGTAATGCAAAGCAGGCGTTAAGGAAAGGAACATTATGGGAGTTGGTCAAAAACAGGTCAAGAACATTGCAATGGTCTGTCGTCACTTCAAATGGACGGGGTCGCCATTGCTAACAGTTGTATAGATACCTCTGGGGCCATCGTAAATATTATCACGCATTGAAGTAAACAACTGGTGTCGTTAGTCCATCAGCGACCGGGAACGTGTTTCTCGCTGTCTTACCTGTTGAGTACGCTTGACTGAGAAGTTAATCTTTGTCAAACTTGACACAGTTACAAACTACGTAATGAAGACAGCTACGTTCGTCTGCATGGGCATGCATGCATGTCCGTCGCGTTTCGGGGCTCAGCGGCGCGTGATGGTAATGCATCTTGGCCTTCGAAACGTCACTACCCCGCATTGCCAGGTCAATAATTAGTATTAATCCCACTGTTTGCTAGGCTCATTGCAAAGGGGTCTGACTAAAAGTAATGCAATTCCAGTCAAATCGCGACGTTCAATGTTGTCCCTTGATGGAGTCGAGGACCGTTCTCCTCTTTGCCCGGGGGCCACCGCCTCTTGTAATCGAGATAAGCTCGTCGGAGCCTCCCGATATCCCTTGCATGCATCAGCGTTTCCAGGTCACTAGCGCCCTGTTGCTAGGCACATCCCCCGCCTAAGTGGCTTAAACCAGGCCTGTCACGAGTGCTATATGAGTGCGGGGTTCCCCGGCTTACCACTGCTGCAGCGTCTGAACGACCACCTTCACACCCTCTTTGATCTCATCCAAACCTATCTCCTTTTAACATTCATCAATACTCACCATGGATTCTCAAGTTAAGTATTTGCTTTCCCTTAAGGCTGTCCGCGATCGGTCCAAGATTGTGGGAGAAGCCGCCAAGTCTGGCAAGCTGAGCCACTTTGAGGTTCGGGAAGATAAGCTGGATGAGGTTGTTGACTTCGTTGCTTCTGTGATCAAGGTAAGGGATACCCGATTCTCTCAATCTCGTCTGCAACTAACATGTCACCTTAAGCGTGACTACGGCCCAGACAAGTTTGACACCATTCCTCCTCACGGGCGCTGGCAACATTTTGAAGTTGGAAATGAGCCCCGCGTTGCCAACATCATAGAGGAGTGGAAGAAGGAGGGGTGCGACAAGACTGAAGTGACCCGCCGTCTCATCGACCTCTTCTTTGTCTCTGTACTTTTGGATGCTGGTGCAGGAGACCACTGGAGATACACAGAGCCCGGAACCGATCAGGTCTATGAGCGTAGTGAGGGAATCGCTGTAGCTAGTCTGCATATGTTCAAGTCCTTGTCTTACACCTCAGGATCCATTCCGATAGTCGATGGTAAGCAGTGCGATTCTTTATTTCCCGTGTATAGAAAGCTTACATAGAATTCACAGGCAAGGGGCTGGAGAAGCTTGAGACCAGTGAGCTTGCAAAGGGCTTCCAAGTATCTGACAGCAACCCCATGTTGGGAGTCGATTCTCGTGCGGCGCTTCTCAGGAGCTTGGGAGGGTCATTGCTCGCTCATCCAGATGTCTTCGGGGCTGAGGGCCGCCCGGGTAACTTAGTTGGTAAGTTTCATAGTCTCATAACGTGGATGATTGCCCTTACTGACTGGACTGTAGACTGCTTGATCAAGTCAGCCGGTGACTCCGCCAAGCTCGATGTTCTCTTCCTCTGGGATACTCTCCAAGCTCTTCTTATTCCCTGCTGGCCCAAGGATCGCACAACAATCAACGGCACGCCGATTGGTGACGCATGGCCTTTGAGCACCCTCAAGAACACGTCCGGCAGCTCCGACCCCGCAGAGGGCATCCAACCCTTCCACAAGCTCACTCAATGGCTTACTTACTCCCTGATGGTCCCGTTTCAGAGGGTCTTGGGTTTGGAGTGGACCAACGCAGACTCTCTGACCGCTCTACCAGAATACCGCAACGGCGGCCTGTTCGTCGATCTCGGCGTGCTTGTCCTGAAGAAGGACACGCTCGACCGCGGACTGAAGGCATCGGGTGAAGAGCTGCCCATGTTCGATGCGGGAGACGATGTTATCGTGGAGTGGAGAGCCATGACGCTGGTGCTGATTGACAAGCTGTACGGCAAGATCCAGCCCCGTATGGGTGATGGCGTTCAGCTGAGCATGGCGCAACTACTGGAGGCTGGTACGTGGAAGTCCGGACGTGAGGTTGCGGCGCAGCGGAGGCCGAAGACGAAGTCGAGTCCCATTATCATTAAGAGTGATGGCACTGTATTTTAGACGACTCGCATTCATGAAGTAGCCTTCCGAATGAGACATTGAATTTCGAACTCATCAGCTGCAAGCCAATCTATTGTTGTAATAATCTCGTCTCGATCATCCCTTGCGTCAAATGATAGCTATCTCCGTTTCTTCCCAATCTTCGAAGCTTTCCACGAATTCATCAATGTCGACTCGCGTCTGATTCCTGACGACAACACCGACCCGTCGATATACGGGCTCCTTCCCAGACACTCGCTCCAGAGCCAATAGATATGCCCTGCCACCAATAAACCGCACAATGCTGATCAGCAGGAGCAGAAATCTCCGGGGTCCTGGGTATGTTTCGTCGTCGGGAGCATCATCTACGTCTGCAGGTTTAGATACAGGAGGTGTCCACCCGGGGTCGTCAACATAGAACTCTGGAGGCTCGTACCAACCAGGTCTGGAAATGACGGGCCGTGGCTTCAAAAACTGCTCGTCCTTCTGAACAGCTTCTTCAAAGGCTATTTTGGATACCTTGCCTCGCATCAGTATCGTTCCACTGGCAACTCTTCCGTAGGCATCGACTCCCTTTGGCACTGTAGCAGCGGACACCAAACTTGCACAAGATACTGATGTACTGCCGTCTTCAACGTGGATAAACTCGATTCTGGCTGGTACAGACACCCAAGACCAGCTGGGCCCAAGATATTCAGCAGGTGCATCGCTATGTGGCTTCCCTCTGCGCCTCCAAAGCAGAGATCTCAGGATATCATGTCTCCATATCCCAGCAAGGTATTGATCCGGCTCGGGAGGCTTGAAGCGATTTGCGATTCCCGATAATGCTGGCAAGCGATCCATGATGGTGGTAAATTGGCAGGACGAATACTTTGCAACTGTTCCCCTCCACCAACGGTAATATCCGAAATCCGTCTCCCACCTTGTTGCCCTAACGGGAGGATAGGTTGGGTTTACAGTTGAGTCAGGATGAGGAAACACCCCCTGATAAAGGCTCGTCTCATATCGTGCACCCTGATGACATATCATGTACATCTGTCCTGGAGCAAAATTGAGCGTGCGGCGCGAAAGGAGGCCCTCTTGGAAAATCCATCCACGGCCTTGCAGTACCGAGTTGTGGTCCGGCACTTCGGGGAATTCAGAGAGGGTATCGCGAAGCGTCCAACCGAGGCTTTGCAGTACTGAACTCCGAGCATGGTCTTCAGGCAACTCAGGGAAGGCGTCGTGGAGACCACCGTGGGTAGAGGGTCGTCCTGGGTAGTACAGAGTCAGGTGCTCCTGGGCATTGCCAAGCTCATCGCGATATCGCAGTTTCGTCTGGTATGAAGGATCTCCAAGAAATTCCCGTTCTCTCAATAAACCCGAATGAGAGTCTATTGCTGCTGTGCCCGCTATGGTCAAAACGGAGCCCTGGTAAATCGATGCCATTCGAGGACACTCAAGCTCCCAGTCTTCTGGGTCGTTCTGTACGATACACAGCGAGTCGATCCACAAGTACTGGTATCCAATAGTATGTGTCACAACAACAGCGTCTCTGAATGTTGCCGGGAGATCCAATGTCTGAATCCCTCTGTGTACGTGGCTGTGGACATTTTCCTTCTTGGTTGATGCGGTTTTCTTGTGACCCCATCGATGGCTTAGAGTGACGTACTCGTATCTCTCCCCTTGAATTGTTTGAATTAGCCGGACCCGGCGAGCATCTTGATCTATTAGCAGAAGACGTGTAGGATTCTCGCTCTGATCTGGCTGTTCAGACGTGTATCTCTCTATACAAATGTGGTCGTCGTGATTGCAGTGCGAAATCCATTGCTTAGCGAGCATCAGGTCTGGACTTTTGTTACATTTCCTGGCCATGAAACCCCCTCTTTGTAAGCCGGAGGTATTTCCTGTGTCCAATCAGATTTTGACGTCCTTGAAGGCTTGGCTTTCGGTCTGTTTCTCGGGAGAAATAACGAACGAACTTGCCTTCTCCACTCCCAATCAGAAAGCCGGCTCTTTTCTCAAAGCTGAGGAATCTGAAGGAAATAAAACTGCAATCCCAGCAGTGCGTCGGATTATTGGTCTCCAGATTAGTGCGCCCATCGGAGCTCTGGCGAAGCGCTCTTCTCTTGACACGACCATCAATAAGGGTCGGTCCTGACGCGTGGCTCTGAATCCAGCTGTCTACTTCTTTCATGGTCTCCAGCCTGTTATCTGAGGAACTCTCCCGAAACTGGGTTAGACAGCCGGCTCTGAAAACCTGACAAAGTCTGCAGCCTCGTTCAGCAGATTGTTTTAGAGAGTCCCAGTTGTGATGTTCATATCTGAACTCGGCCAGTTCATGATCATGCACACTGCTAATTGGTAGCTGTGGGCGCAGAAGTTTCTCCTCAAGCTCGCGGCAGCGCCCACAGAGATGAGAAGTGACTATGTCAGGTAAACAGGTTGGAATTGAGATGTAAGACAGTCTTTGCCAGCTCCTGAGGAAGTTTCGTAGACGGGACGAATGCATTGATGATTCTTGCTTATCAGAGACAAGAGGACTGCTTAAGTGTGCTTGAAGCTCGTCGGGTTGTGATTCTGTCGCAGGAGACATGATAGACTCGAGCATCGGCCATGAAAGTCGAGAAACTCTGGTGACCAAGAGTGACTGCTTCTTCGAAAAGCCTAATGCGGTTGAAAGATTTCAACCACGCTGAGACCAGGCTTCAAATAGGCAGGAACAGAGGTCAGCGTCAGCATCGTGCATGAACCCTTGGCAGCGACCAATCATCCGTGGCTTGGCACTACCAGCAGTCCGACGTGAGCGAACAACATAATGAAACGGCGTTCGGAACGTTTCGTGCATTTATCAAGTCGGTTGGGAGGTTTCTTCGCCGGGGGCTTGCGAGTCAAGAGGTGAATAGAAGCCCTGAACGTTTTGGAGGTAACCTGGTCTCTTCAGACCATTGTAGCTTCAGTAGCGCCCTGAAGGAGATCGCCTTGTTTTCCTATGTCTGCGCAGCAAGATTTCCTGTATACGCCATACATAAAGTTGAAATTATACCTTCGCTAAGGACAATAGTAGTAGTAATGACGGTAGTTGCAAGAACTATAACGAGGAGGCGGCGACGGCAGAATCGACGACAACAGGAGAGGCGATAACGATACAGGTGACACGGCGACGACAGTAAGGTAGACTGTACATGAGCCCATACCTAGAGAAAGTAGTCGGTCTAGCACAGTAAAAATAGAGGTCTCCTCTGAAGAATAGAAATATCCCGTAAAGACTGCTGGACGCGAAAACCAAGTGCAAGATAGTCAGAGATGAATAACCAGAACACATCATCACTGTCCTAGGCTTCTATTGTACAGGTGATTATATACAATGAGTTTACAAGTTTTCTTTGTCGTACATTCGCTATGACGAGGATCTCTTCTCGTCAGTCTCCGTTTTGTTTTCCTCCGCGTCAACGTCCTCAAGATCAAGAACGTTCATTTCCTTCGACTCGTTTCCATTCAGCTCCTCGTGCGGGTGCCTCCTCCACTCCTTCAAATATCCAAACGCCTCATCGTACGTCATGACTTCATCCTTGCCGAAGACATGAACCGGCAAATCTTTCTCAATGTTGTCCTTCTCCTGGCGGTATCGACGACCCTCATCACTGAACTTCTTCAGATTCCCTTTGAACATCTTGTACCACTCAGTGTCCCGGTGCTCGTCTCCCTTTTCCAGAGCTTTTCTTCGCCTGTCTTTCAGGCGCCTGTAAAGCTTCTGAGCCTGTGCCACGTCCATTTCATCGAGGGAGTACTCTAGTTGCCAATCCAGCCTCTCGGATTTGGAGACCGGACGTTCCACCACCTTTCCGTTGACGGTGTTCCGCACTGTCAAGTGCATACCTAAAAGCTCATCGTCCGCATCCTCCTGTTCTTCAGGTCCGCGCTCGACAGTCTCCTGGCTTGACTGTTCTGGGCCTGTCAAGGGGTTGCTTGGAGCGTCGATCTCATCCGCTCTTGTAGTTAAACCGCCGTCTTTGGCCTTTGATTTGGCTACGAGCTCCGAGAGAATCAGTCCAAAGTTTGAAAGCTTAGAATCGTCCGAGACTGCATCTTCGTCGGCTGCTTGAATATCGTCGTACTCAGGCTTCTCATCTACGCTTAGGGCGAGGCGGAGAATGAGCTCCTTAAGACTTGTGTCGCGAGACCGGCGTGCGGCTGAATCCTGCTCCTCGGCGGCGGCAGCAGACTCAACCTCTTGCAGCAGCTCCGTCTCAGCTGCCTGCGCATTTGCCTGCGCAGTCTCCGTGAGCTCATCGGTTGTGGTCGCCTTGTCTGACACACTCATTTCGCCTGCCGCATCGATTTCAACTGCCAATGACCCGCTCTCGACGTTCGTGGATTTGGTTTGCCTAACATCCTTGGCGCTGCGGACCAGAACTCCGAGTAAGGCATCGACGTAAGTATCCGCTTCTTGGGGGGATCTTGCCTCAAGCAATCCACTCTGCTGAAGAGCATCGCGAATGGCTTCGCGCACGTGGTCAACACCCAAGGCATCATCCTCGATAGCTGCATCCACCTTCTCTTGCATTTCTTCCCAGAATTCCTGGGTCTGCAGCTGTTGACTCCTAGTTCCGTCCACAACAGCCTCGACCTCTTCCTCTGCCGCCTGTTCCAATTCTGAATCTACGTCTTCAGCTTCCAGTTTCTCACGCTCTCCCTCTTGGACGAGACCAAGAATCTCCTTCTCGTACTCGGCAATCGCTGCATGTTGAGTTGTCTGAATCTTCTCGATTTGTTCATGCGTAACAGGCTTTGCGAAGATGTACATGAGTGGAGGGTTGGTCGGCCGAGTCTCGATGTGAAGGCGGATTGAACGTCCAGGGAAACGCTTGGTGGCACGGTCTAGCACCTTATTGAGCAGGTGAAGACTAAGCTTAAACTCCAGGTCTCCGAGTTGTTTGTCCTCTGTACCGTGAAGAGCAAAGTCCATCTCCTCTAAGCTGATGTATTGGAAACCGAAGATGCGCTGAGTGTTGTGGTATGCCACAAAGATACCGTCCATTCGGCCCATCCGCACTTGCAGAGAGTATTTGAGCATCGTTGACCTAATCATGTCGTAGTACTCGCGTTCAAAGGATTCCCAATTGCCGAATCGATTCCGAAGTTCGTAACCCAGACCCTTCTGGTATCCCGTGGCATCCATCCGAATGGAGATAACAGATCGAGTTTTCAAGTCGAACATGCCGGTGCCAGGCAAGCGTGGATCATAAGCGTCCAGTTGTGAGCGCATGAGAAAGTCTCCGAAAGTTGTGAAGTGAAAGGCTTCTTCAGCATTCCGCTCCTCTTCCGTAATCTGATCCGAGTTCTTCTTTCTATACCTCTCAAACTCGTCTCGTGGTAGCGTTAAAAGTTTCTCCATAGACTTTCCTAGCATGCTCAGGATGCTAGCAAAATCGAATTCCTTGTCCGCGTCGATGGAGTAGACCCCATCGCGGAGATGCAGGAATGTAGCGGCTGGCGATCGCATGATTTGGGTAAAGTTGGAATTTTCGGCTCTGAAGGTCTGGCTCAGGGTCGATGCATTGATCGGCCGCCACGCAGAAAGCAGGAAGTGAAAGTGTGATAGCATCGCTGTCATGCTCGAAGTAGATCCGCAGTACCTCTTCTCCAGCTTTGAAGCAAGTCCAAACAAAGTCTGGTCTTTTGAAGAAGTGACATATTTCTTCAGCGCATTGAAGTCAAATTCGTTGATCGGCATGATGTTTGCCAGGTAGGGGTCGAAGTTGTACACTCGAGAGTGCGGATCTTGCAACTGGTAAACCCCAGGATTGAACAGGGCTCTATCAAGACCATATGACAACTTTGGTACTTCAGGCATGTCCTGCTCCACCGGTTGCAGGGCTAGCTTGTTTGCATGGACTCTTTCGACATTCAAGGGTCGCTTGGATTTCCCTTTCTTTTTAGAATCGGCCGACTTAGTGTTTCCGTCGTCGGGTGTCTTCGGTGTTGGGGAACTGGTAAAAGAGCCAGATGCTGGCGCACCGGCAGCCGCAAGAGCAAAGCGACCGGCCAACGATGTCAATTGCACAGCCTTTCGCTCCCCAGCTGCCTTTTGCTCAGACGTTCCCTGCGATTTGGTCGAACTCTTCGGTGCCTTTGAGCCTTTTCGTGGTTTCGTTTGCGCATCCGATTCTCCAACCTCTTTCGAGCTGGCGGGCTGAGGCGAAGATGCTGTTTCGCTCGGTCGTTTCGTCAAGCTCTCGAGAGGGATCTGCTGGTTGCCCAGAACATCTTTCAGAACGTTCAAAGTGCCCTTGACTGTGGCAATCTTGGCCTCCAGCTTTTTTGTCTGTCGCACTAGCGACGCATCATAGATAATAGGCTTCTCCCCCTTCCCGGTCATGTCAGAGTCCTCGGGGAACTTTGTCGCCTCTTTGTGCAGGCCAGCCATCCTCTGGTTGATCGAGCGATAGCTTCTTTCGAGGCTCTGCAAAGATTTATAGACATCCATGATAACTTCGGGAGTCGGCTCGCCCGTGGAGACTTGCGGGGTTTGATCCGAAGTCCATGTCTTCTTCGTTGGAGTGACTCGGCGGGGACTCACCGGGCGGCGAGGTCCCTTGGATTTCTTCTTTGGCTTCTGCGGTTTCTTGTCGGTCGAGTCGGCCGTTG